AAAGTTTTTTGTTTCAATAGGATCATCTAAGATGTATACCTTGATTTATATTCAAGAGTGAACTGACGTAGATGCTAGAAGTTCCCTTTATTTGCCGTTGTCATGATTCTTTTAAGAAAAAGAAAAAGAAAAAATGATGATTTCAAAAAAGATTGACCTTCTAGAGGAGCTGGATGAAACGAAAATTTCATGTCCGGTTCTGAATTAGAGATTTAGAGTTATATACTAACTCATATCGACTATAACTTATAGCCTTCCAAGCTAATGGTGCGGGTTCGATTCCCGCTACCCGCTATATTCTCATTTTGTCAACACCCTTTTCTCTATTCCTTTTCTATTAGAAAAAATGTCCAGAACTCTTCTTATTTCTTATTATAGATTGAAATTTCCCTTTAGAAAATTAGATACTATATTCAATGGATTTGAAACGCAACGATAGACTATATATTTTTTTTCTGATATATTATGTAATATTATCGCAATACTCATTTTCTCCTTACTAAACCTATATGTAAGCGAAGCGTCCATCGTCTAACGGATAGGACAGAGGTCTTCTAAACCTCCAATATAGGTTCGATTCCTATTGGACGCAATATTAAGAGTTTATTAAAACTGTTAGTTATGAGAAAAGGTATTCTTGCATACCAAAATAGACAAAAATATATCATATGACTAAATATATGCACTTTATTTATATTTGAAAGGTCATATATTTAGTCATATAACTACTTTATCTTAAATTAACGAGCAGCAGCTCCAGATTCTTCCTGTAATAAGAAAGCTTCTGTATGTTCTTGAATAGCTTGCTTCAAAATAGCTTGTGCTTCATCTGTAAAAGTTTTCTTTTCACGAATAATTTTACCAAATTCAGGTTTATTAGTCACGATATAATGACGTAATTCAGCCAAGAATCTTCTAACTTGTGCAACTTCAATTACATCTAAATAGCCATTAACTCCAGTAAAGATAGTTGCTACTTGTTCTTCTACAGCTAAAGGTGCAGCTTGAGGCTGTTTAAGCAACTCACGTAAACGTTGTCCTCTAGCTAATTGGTTTTGAGTAGCTTTATCAAGATCAGAAGCAAATTGTGAAAAAGCTTCTAATTCTGCAAATTGAGCTAACTCTAGTTTCAATTTACCTGCAACTTGTTTCATTGCTTTAATCTGCGCTGCAGATCCTACACGAGATACTGAAATACCAACATTAATAGCAGGACGAATACCAGCATTAAATAAATCAGCTGATAAGAAAATTTGTCCGTCTGTAATAGAAATTACATTTGTTGGGATATAAGCAGAGACGTCACCAGCTTGAGTTTCAACAATAGGCAAAGCAGTCATACTACCTTCACCTAATTGATTACTTAATTTGGCAGCTCTTTCTAATAGACGAGAATGTAAGTAGAAAACGTCTCCAGGATAAGCTTCGCGTCCAGGTGGGCGTCTTAGAAGTAGAGACATTTGACGATAAGCTTGAGCTTGTTTAGACAAATCATCATATACTACTAATGTATGACGTCCTTTATACATAAAGTATTCAGCAATTGTCGCACCAGTATAAGGAGCAAGGTATTGCAAAGTAGCAGGTGAGTTAGCTGTTTCTGCTACAATTACAGTATATTCCATTGCACCACGTTCTTCGAAGGTGTTTACAACTTGAGCTACAGAAGAAGCCTTTTGTCCAATAGCTACATAGACACAGACAACATTTTGTCCTTTTTGATTTAGAATTGTATCTGTAGCTACTGCTGTTTTCCCAGTTTGACGGTCTCCAATGATCAATTCTCGTTGACCACGACCAATTGGAATCATGGCATCAATAGCAATAAGTCCTGTTTGCATTGGTTCATAAACAGAACGTCTAGAGATAATACCAGGAGCAGGAGATTCAATTAAACGATATTCAGAAGCTGGGATATCTCCTTTGCCATCAATTGGACGACCAAGTGCATTAACTACACGTCCTAGATAGCCGTCACTAACAGGAATTTGAGCGATTTTTCCAGTTGCTTTAACTGAACTACCTTCTTGGATACTCAATCCTTCTCCCATAAGTACAGCACCAACATTATCTGCCTCTAGGTTTAGAGCAATTCCAACTGTACCATCTTCAAATTCTAGTAGCTCCCCTGCCATGACTTTGTCTAGGCCATAAATACGAGCAATACCATCTCCTACTTGAAGAACAGTACCTATGTTAACAACTTTAACTTCTTGATTATATTGCTCAATCTGTTTGCGGATAATACTACTGATTTCATCAGGTCGAATATTTACCATGGACGTGGTGTGTAATCTTGAAAGTATAGCACCTATATATGTTCTTTTTTCTACTCAGCAGAATTTTCCATAGCTTTAAATAAGCCAATATGATAATCAATCATTCTAGCATGTAAATCCATATTCAAACGACTATTAATTACTTCTAAAGCTCTTTCAACTGCTAATCGAGAAACTTGTTGTCGTACTTGTACAATGGCTTTTTGTTCTTCAAAACGAATAGTCATATTTTTAGAATCTTCTAAACGTTTAGAATCCTCATCAGCAGCCTTGATTAATTCTTCTTTTTCTCTCTCAATTTGCAATATGCTATTAACACGGATTTCTTCTGCTTTTTCTTTTGCTTGTTCTAAACGAGCTCGAGCTTGATTTAGCTTTTCAGTCGCTTCTTGGTAACGTTCTTCTGCATCGCGAATGGTGCTTAATATAGTTTCTTTGCGATTATTTAAGATATTAGTTAATGAAGTAGATTGCTAATCTATGCTAATGCATTAGCTTAACTATCTCTTCCCAAACCGGACATGAATCTTCTCGATTCACCCGGCTCTCTCGTTCACCCATGTGTAATTAAAGCCCGATAAGAAACATGTATATATTCTTTTTCTTGCAACTTATAGAAAAGGCAAAAAAGACATGTTTTTTGTATCCTAAATGACTTATACACAAATGTTTGAACGTACCTTTCATTGCAAATGCGATTTCAAGGTTCTCCTGACCATTTGTTTTTGATCAGCACGGTTGTTTTCTTCGAATCACTATAAAAAATCTTAAGGTTGTCTATTTAGTATATTGTTATCAAGTGTATTTCTTGAATATATTCTGGAAGATTCTGACTGATGAATTCATTGAATGAATTCCCTTATAATCTCGATACGAGTGTTCTGTACCGAAAAAATCTCCAACAAGGTTAAGATTTGTAATTATCTTATTGAGCAAAGAAAGCTCCAGCAATACTTAGACTTCAAGCAATAGAGCCTTAACCTAGTAGATTTTTCCTCATTATAGAAAGTTAATAGTGTCTTTAACTTAATATTCAACGAAATGCTTTTGTCCATACAAAGATTCTTCTTTGTGAGTCATTCGTGAGGATCATACACTTTATAGTCAGAGTGTAGTTGGATTTTTTTCCAACCATGTCATTCAAATATTCATCCCGCACACACTCCCTTACCAAAGTAAACTAATACACCGATCACTACTGCTAAATTGATCAAATTAGTATCTAGCAAATTGGTATTGAGGCTTAGCCCCTCATTTGCCAGAGCCCAAGAATCCAACGAAGCAATCAAGTCAATTGCGCTGTTCATACCCTGTTTCTCCAATAAGGTCCATTTTCTACATAATGCTACTTATATGAGGTTTAACTAAAATGTCAGGAAATTTATATTACCTCATGATTTAAGTTCTTGGGTCTAGTACATCTTCTTATACGTATTATGTAATAGCAAATATTAGAATGAGTTTTTCAACTAGATTAATCTCCTGAATATCAGAAAAATATGTATAAAACAATATACCAAATGATGCCGATATGCATTATTTCTCATTTGTAATTTAGAGCATTCTTGTTTGAACATAGATTCTCTTATGATCAAAATGAAAAGCATACAATCGGCATCTTTCCCCCAAATAACTTGTTTTTCCCTATGCCTGTCTACTTAAAGTCAAAAATCAACTTCAGTCTTTCTATGAAACATAGTCATAGCAAAACCTATGTGCTAGACAAGCTAAAAGCTTTGTGTATAGAACTATACAAAAGGATTTGCAAATAGAAGAGCTAAAGCTACTACTAGTCCATAGATAGTCAAAGCTTCCATGAAAGCCAAACTAAGTAACAAAGTGCCTCGGATCTTACCTTCGGCTTCTGGTTGTCTTGCAATACCTTCTACAGCTTGTCCAGCAGCAGTTCCTTGTCCAATACCAGGACCAATGGAAGCTAGACCTACAGCCAACCCAGCAGCGATCACGGAAGCAGCAGAGATCAAAGGGTTCATTACTTTTCTCCTTCAAATAAGACCAAGGAGGCTGTGTATTCTACAAGTCTCCCCGTGTATGCCTAAATGTACAAACATTTTAGCAATTAGTAACTCATGATGTCTCTTGGGTGTGATAGTAGCACCAAAAAGCAATGTCAATAAACGTTTATCTTATCATACCATGTAGAACACAGTTCTACCAATTAAAGAAAAACATTTATAACTTAAACTGTCTCTAAAAAATACATAATACATATCATATAATGTATTTCTTTGCAGCTTTTGATAACAGCAACTTGAGTATTTTCTAAGATAATTAGACAATTCTCATACAGAGACAGCTAAGCTTAGAATAGGAGAATCCTATTCTAATTCTTACAAAAAATCAACTAATTATCTATATCTTTTTGTTGAAAAGATATACACAGAAGATCGTTTCTCTTGATAAAACATGATGATAATAATCATCATGAACTAAAGAAAATAGAAATAATACATTTATTTATGTGCTTGCTGTAACAGGGAAATACAAATTGTTTTTTTGATTTAGTTTCAAAAAAAATAAAGATGAACTAATTTTAGTTTCATGTTCCCTATTTTACAAATTTCTTCTAAAAGGTATTATAATCTATGTTTGCAAGTTGTCAACAATAAGAAGTTATATGTATATATTCCTTCTTCTAAGGAGATTGCAATGTTGTCAAATCCAACTTTCACTCTTTATATCAATAATTTTTTTGTATATCAGATAGAATAAATTCTATTCGAACCACAACAAATATGGGAGTAGACTACTCCCATATTTGTTTTACCAACTTGATTTAGTTACACCAGGTAATAAACAAGCATGTGCCATTTCACGCAATACATGTCTTGACAAGCCAAAGTCACGATAAACTGCTTTTGGTCTTCCTGTTACAAAACAACGACGAGTAATTCTATTAGGCGCACTATTTCGTGGCAAAGATTGCAATTCTCTATGCAATTGACATTTTTCATCAATTGATGAAACTGTCTTAATTTGTTCTTTTAATTCCTGACGACGCTCATAGTATTTAGATGCTAATCTTTCACGTTTCTTATCCCTTTCAATCATACTTTTTTTAGCCATATTGTTTATAAAAAATAAAAATAACGGAAGAAGCTTATATAGTGAATTTCAGGCTATCCCACCTCTTGAGAGGTGGGATAGCCTAAAAAACTTACTATTTTCTTAATATCTCAAAAATAGATTTTTACAAAATAGTAAGCAGTTATGATGTTGACATATCCTTAACCGAATTTACCTGAGGTAGATGCAATTAGGAAAGCAGCATAGGTAAATACATAACCTACAGAGAAATGAGCTAATCCTACTAATCTAGCTTGCACAATAGAAAGAGCTACTGGTTTATCTTTCCAACGCACAAGATTAGCTAATGGAGTACGTTCATGAGCCCAAGCTAATGTCTCGATCAATTCTTGCCAATAACCACGCCAAGAGATCAAGAACATGAAACCTGTAGCCCAAACAAGGTGTCCAAATAAGAACATCCAAGCCCATACAGACAAACTGTTCATACCGAATGGGTTGTATCCATTAATTAACTGAGATGAGTTTAACCATAGATAATCTCTAAGCCAGCCCATTAAGTAAGTAGAAGATTCATTAAATTGCGCTGCATTACCTTGCCATAAAGCTAAGTGTTTCCAATGCCAGTAGAAGGTTACCCATCCAATAGTATTTAACATCCAGAAAACAGCTAGATAAACAGCATCATAAGCAGAAATATCGCAAGTTCCACCTCTACCTGGACCGTCACAAGGGAAGCTGAATCCAAATTCCTTTTTGTCAGGCATTAATTTAGATCCACGAGCATCTAAAGCACCTTTCACAAGAATCAAGGTTGTTGTATGCAAACCTAGAGCAATTGCATGGTGTACTAAGAAATCCCCTGGGCCAATAGTCAAGAATAAAGAATTACTATTGTTATTAATAGCATCTAACCACCCTGGTAACCATAGACTTTTTCCTGCAGTAATAGTAATGCTAGAACTGGAAGAAAGTAATACATCAAATCCATATAAAGCCTTACCATGAGTAGATTGAATCCACTGAGCAAAAACAGGTTCAATTAGGATTTGTTTTTCTGGAGTACCAAAAGCCAGTACAACATCATTATGTACGTATAGACCAAGTGTATGGAAGCCCAAGAATAAGCTAGCCCAACTTAGGTGAGAAATAATAGCTTCTTTGTGTTCCAACATTCTAGCCAATACATTTCCTTTGTTTTGCTCTGGATTGTAATCTCTGATAAAGAAAATTGCACCATGAGCAAAAGCTCCTGTCATGATGAAGCCAGCAATATACTGATGGTGAGTATAAAGTGCTGCTTGAGTAGTAAAATCTTGAGCTATGAATGCATAAGAAGGTAAGGAATAGCTGTGCTGAGCTACCAAAGAAGTGATAACACCTAAACACGCTAATGCTAATCCTAATTGGAAATGAAGAGAATTATTCACTGTGTCAAATAGGCCTTGGTGACCGCCGCCCATACGACCGCTTGGAGCAATATGTGCTTCCATAATCTCTTTCATACTATGTCCAATTCCAAAGTTGGTACGATACATATGTCCAGCAACGATGAATATTACAGCAATTGCTAGATGGTGATGAGCTATATCGCTTAACCAAAGACTTTGTGTCTGTGGATGAAAACCGCCTAAGAAAGTTAAGATAGCAGTACCAGCTCCTTCTGAAGTACCAAAGATATGGCTGCTAGAATCTGGATTTTGTGCATAAACACCCCATTGGCCAGCAAAGAAAGGTGCTAAACCTTGTGGATGTGGAGCAGTAGTTAAGAAATTATCCCATCCTACATGCTGTCCTCTAGATTCAGGAATAGCTACGTGTACGATATGTCCAGCCCAAGCCAAAGAACTGGTTCCAAATAAACCAGCTAAATGGTGGTTTAAACGAGACTCAGCATTTTTGAACCAAGAAACACTAGGTTTCCACTTAGGTTGTAGATGTAACCATCCACCTACTAAAGAAACAGCAGCTAATCCTAATAGGAAAAGTGCTCCTGTGTAAAGATCTTGGTTAGAACGTAGACCTTGAGTATACCACCATTGATATACACCGGAATAGGAAATATTTACAGGACCAGAAGCGCCTCCTCGAGTATAAGCTTCTACTGCTGGTTGTCCAAAATGAGGATCCCAAATTGCATGTGCGATAGGACGAACATGCAAAGGATCTTGAGACCACGCTTCAAAATTGCCCTGCCATGCTACGTGAAACAAATTCCCAGAGGTCCACAAGAAGATAATTGCTAACTGACCAAAATGAGAAGCAAAAATCTTCTGATAAAGCCGTTCTTCGGTGATATCATCATGACTTTCGAAGTCGTGTGCAGTAGCAATTCCAAACCAAATACGGCGAGTGGTTGGGTCTTGGGATAGGCCCTGGCTAAATTTTGGAAATCTTGATGCCATAATGCTTTAAAACCCTCCTAGCCATTATCCTACTGAAATAATTCTTGCTAGGAAGAATGCCCATGTTGTGGCAATCCCACCCAGAAGGTAATGAGCTACTCCTACAGCACGCCCTTGAGTAATACTAAGAGCTCGAGGCTGGATAGCAGGAGCAACTTTAAGCTTATTATGAGCCCATAGAATGGATTCAATTAGTTCTTGCCAATAACCACGGCCACTAAACAAGAACATCAAGCTAAATGCCCATACGAAGTGAGCACCTAAGAAAACTAAACCATATGCAGATAAAGCAGATCCATAAGATTGAATTACTTGAGATGCTTGTGCCCATAAGAAATCACGCAACCATCCATTAATGGTAGTTGCACTTTGAGCAAAGTTCCCTCCAGTAATATGAGATACTCCTTGAGCATTTACAGTTCCCCATACATCTGATTGCATCTTCCAACTAAAATGGAAAATTACTACAGAAATAGAGTTATACATCCAGAATAGACCCAAGAATACATGGTCCCAAGCAGAAACTTGGCAAGTACCACCACGTCCTGGACCATCACAAGGGAAGCGGAAGCCTAAATTAGCTTTATCTGGGATTAGTCGAGAACTACGAGCAAATAATACACCCTTCAAAAGAATCAAAACAGTAACGTGAATAGTAAATGCATGAATATGGTGCACTAGGAAATCAGCTGTTCCTAATGGAATAGGAGACATTGCTACTTTCCCACCTACTGCTACTAATTCACTACCACCCCAAGTGATACTGCTAGCGGCAGCTGCATTAGGTGCTGTGAAACCAGGTGCTGCAGCGTTAGTATTTTGAACCCATTGAGCAAACACAGGCTGAAGTTGAATAGCTGTGTCAGAGAACATATCTTGAGGACGACCTAAGGCACTCATAGTATCGTTATGAATATACAAACCAAAACTATGGAATCCTAGGAAGATACATACCCAGTTAAGATGAGAAATAATTGCATCTCTATGACGTAGAACACGATCTAATAGATTGTTATACTGAGTAGTTGGATCGTAATCTCTTACCAAATAGATAGCTGCATGAGCACCAGCCCCTACAACGCAGAATCCACCAATCCACATGTGGTGTGTGAATAAGGATAACTGAGTACCATAATCAGTTGCTAAATATGGGTAAGGAGGCATAGCATACATATGATGTGCTATGATAATTGTTAAAGATCCAAAAGTAGCTAAGTTTAATGCTAATTGAGCATGCCAAGAAGTGGTCAAAATTTCATAAAGTCCTTTGTGACCTTCACCAGTCATAGGCCCTTTGTGAGCTTCTAACATTTCTTTCATGCTATGACCAATTCCCCAGTTAGTTCTATACATATGTCCTGCTACTAGGAAAAGGACTGCAATTGCTACGTGGTGGTGAACTGTATCAGTTAACCATAAACCTCCTGTAACTGGATTTAGACCGCCACGGAAAGTTAAGAAATCAGAATACTCTGCCCAGTTTAAGGTAAAGAAAGGAGTTACACCTTTCGCAAAGCTAGGATATAACTGAGCTAATAAGTCTCTGTTAAATATAAATTCGTGAGGCAAAGGAATTTCTTTAGGGTCAACTCCTGCATCTAACAATTGGTTGATAGGCAAAGATACATGAATTTGGTGTCCAGCCCAACCCAAAGATCCTAAGCCTATTAGACCGCCTAAATGGTGGTTCATCATAGATTCTGCATCTTGGAACCAAGCCAATTTAGGTGCAGCTTTATGATAATGGAACCAACCAGCGATAAACATTAAGCCTGCCATTAATAAACCACCAATTGCAGTGGAATATAACTCTAGTTCAGTAGTGATTCCAGAAGAACGCCACATTTGGAATAAACCAGAGGTAATTTGAACTCCCTGGAATCCACCACCTACGTCGCCGTTCAAAATTTCTTGACCTACAATTGGCCAAACAACTTGAGCACTAGGTTTGATGTGGGTTGGATCACTTAACCATGCTTCATAATTGGAAAAGCGTGCACCATGAAAATACATTCCGCTTAACCAAATGAATATGACAGCTAATTGACCAAAGTGTGCACTAAAAACCTTACGAGAAATTTCTTCTAGATCACTAGTGTGGCTATCAAAATCGTGAACATCAGCATGCAGGTTCCAAATCCAAGTGGTTGTAGTAGGACCTTTTGCTAACGCACGAGAGAAATGACCTGGCTTAGCCCATTTTTCAAAAGAGGTTTTTACAGGATCATTGTCTACCACAATCTTGACTTCTGGTTCCGGTGAACGAATAGTCATTGAGATTCTCCTCTCTTCAGACGAGACAAAGGAAACACCTGCCCAAAATCATGAATCAGCTTCTGAGAGGGTAATATTTTAGAATTGCTACCCACTTTATTAAGTCTGTAACTAGAACAACTATGATACAGAAGTGACCCAGGACAGACTCCTAAATATATTATGACAACACATTTAAAGGTGGCTCTAATGGACCAATACATAAATAAAGTGAAAGTTAGGAATTTAACCTGTATATATTTACTAGGCAAGTAATAGAAAAATGCGGAAGTGAAGCAAATAATGGAAACTTTGCTATATGCTTATTATATATCTTTTGTATTTTATATCCAAACATAAAGGACATTCTGATCAATTTGTTCGGCCATACAACATACAACAAAAGAGAAAATATAGCCAAACTACAACCGTGCGCAGGATTCCTGCGCACAGTTGTTAGTATATGGCAGCTTGCCTCTAAAACAAGATTGTTTAGCCAACGAAAGGAGCTTCAACAGATGCTAAGTCTAGAGGGAAGTTGTGAGCGTTACGCTCGTGCATAACTTCCATACCTAGGTTAGCACGGTTGATGATATCAGCCCAAGTGTTGATTACACGACCTTGGCTATCAACTACGGATTGGTTGAAGTTGAAACCGTTTAGGTTGAAAATGCCATAGTACTGATACCTAAAGCATAAACCAAATACCTACTACAGGCCAAGC